TAATTATAATAATAATAAAACCAGCCTCCATAATGGTTGTTCGAAATAAACGTTTTCAATAGTTCCTAAATTGAAAACGCTAATATGCAAACTGAAACAATGTTTGCTTTTACTGGTAACTTAATAGTTAAAGAAGTTTATGCAATTGTTCAGCAAAGCTTGCTAATACTTGTTTTCCATTTTACTTGACTTCATAAAAATGACTTGCTGTGTAAATTAGCTAACTTTACATTGAGGATAGATCAGATGAGAAGAGATTAGAAGAGAGAATGGATGATTTTTGTTATTAGAATTGAAAACAGCTAACTCGATGATAGATTAAAAGAGCTCTTAAGATTAAAAGAGAAATGGTACTACAGTAAAAGAATGAGATGGCTGAGTGAAAAATAGACAAAAGCGCCAAGAGAAAAATAATGATCGAGAAAAAAACTAGTTGGGAGAGTAGAAATGTAGATTGCTGTAGGTATTTTCAATGACTGCTTAATATAAGTACTCAATTCTTTTACAGTTACCAATACCTGTATAGGTATGACGGTGAATTCGGATCATATCGAATTTTTTCACTGCATTTATGATTGTAATGTTGCATAGAGGGGAAAAAAAGAAAAGGAAAAGAAAAAAAAAACGAAATGAACAAAAATCTCTTTTCTTCTAGAAGAAAAGAGATTTTTGCTCATTTTTCTTTTTTTTTTTGTTTTATTACATTACAATTTTTTTGTTAAAAATTCTTTTTGAAAATTTTAAAAATTTTCAATCTGGACATTTTACACTTAAGCAGATGAATGAATTTGAAATTGCTATTTGAAAAATAAACAAAAATCATAAAGTTTAATTAAACAAATAAGCTTTAATGAATTAATGCAGTAATATTGTGCAAATTTATCAGATTAACTGTACCTATGTGTTATCATAATACTCTGATTTGAATAAATGATAACTTGAAAACGGCTAAATGCAACGTCACATTAAAAGATGGATTTTATTACAGCTTAATCCCTTCAAGAAAAATTTCATCTATGCAATGGTACAATTATATTCAATTTAAAAAACAAATTCAAGTTTAAAAGCTTTCCATGGAAATAAATATTGTTTTGATCGATAGATGGCAGAATTGAAATTCATTTCTATTTTTTAACAAAAATTTGAAAGGTATCATCAATGATACTTAAATTTAAACTTTGCAGCATAGATTGAGAGTTGTAGAATCAATATTGACGGTAATTTGGAGCACATAGGAGATGCATTCCATTTATCTTACAGTAAGTCAATTTACGAAACATTTTTTTTCAACAAAAACTTAAGAGGATGCAAATCAATTTAAACAAGAAAATTCGAATTTATTGTCGACGAAAAAATCACAACGAAAAAATTGTTGATTTTTCTCAAAGTATGCTATGATAGAACTAAAAATTTTTCCAAATAAAAATATGAGAAATTTCAAATGATTTCTAATTACTCACAGTAAATAATCTCAAATATAACGCATATATGCAATTTAAATGTGATATTTGAACTCATTTATTACCTTTACGAGATTGAATATATGGGAAAAGTGTTGTAGATTTGTATCGGGAAAATTGAATCAAAAAATCAGTTTGAAGCATTGAGAACGGAAATTAAATTAAGGTGTACGGTGGGTATTTTTTTAATCAAATATACTTTCAATTAAGTTATTTCGTTTTCATTTTCTTCTTTGACTATAATAGCAATCGTACAATAGTCAATTGAAAATTTTTTCATGCTTTTAAATTCCACGCCTTCTTCGGAATCTTTTTAAAATTCATTATTGCAATACAACTATCACACCAATAGCGCAGTCATCTCTTTCTGTGCAAATGTCTACAACTTATGGAATCTCATGTGAGGGTTTAAATTTAAATTGAATATTTAACAAAATTTTCCGCAAGTATAGGATTTTTCTTTTAAAAAATATTGATTTTTCCACTTTAAAATCTAATTATATGTTTATTTTGGCCAAATTCATAGTTAAACTTATAAGATTGTACTGAAATGTAATTTTTATCGATTTATCTCAAATTTTCTAGCAACTATTTATTGCTACTTAATCTTTTTTTATCATAAATTTTGTATACCTCATTCAGCGATATTAATTTACATAATATTTCAGATGTTTTTGTTTGTTTGGTACTATTTACTGAAACAAATGCTTTACGTGGAGCATTGTTCAGAACAGGAAAAAGATTCTGGTCAGGTGGCGGAGATCCAAACATCAATCAATTCGAATCAGATAAATTGCTTAAAATGGTAAATTTAGTACCAGTAGAATTCTTTCATGATCTTGTTTTGACAGCTTGAATGAATTTCAAGCGCTTTTTTACACACAAGTGCAAAACAGACCACTTATCTTCAATTGAAAAAAATATATAAATAATGGTTTTCATTCATTTTTGAATCACAATAAGCACAAATTTTTAAATCACAATAGACATAAATTTTTGAACCCTTGAGATTAGCCAGATTTTATGAGAAATATTCTAAGAGTTGTGAATTTAAAAAGCTTTCGTAACTCAAAATTTTCTCAAATTCTATTTTTGCTTCTTGTTGATCAGTTAAACATGAATATATTTCTACAGTGGTAGATTTCCTGTTCTGGCATGGAAAAGCCTAATGGATGATTAATTGAAAGCATAAAATAAATTAAAGGGCAACTCTTCGCTGAACTTTTCTAATATTAGTGATTTTAGCATTCAGCAAGACCTATTGAACTGAGCTGATTATGGTATCCAGGAAGAATTCGGTGCCATAAAATTATCAGAAAGCTCTTTTTTCTTCATCAGTTCAAAGTAAATATTCTAGATTGATAGAGTGGATTACAATAACGGGAATCAGAATTTAATGTCAAATTTACGCAATGTCAAGAAGGTAATTTATCTGCAGTAGTGATTATGGTCATTTGGTTATATTATCATTTATTAATTAAATAAATGATTTTGTAAGACACGGCTAATGGCCAAATATATTTGGTTTCTATAACATCATTTTCTTTGAAGTTCACCGACAATTATTACCGTTTCAGTATTTTTTCCCCTCGTCATATATTCGCTTATCATACCATAAAGTACTTTTGCTCTCATATGTTAAGTTTGTTTATAAAATGACACTATTCGTTCATTACTTACGTAATCGAAATTGCTTGATGACGCTACATTTTGAATTAAAACGAAGATTCATTCCCATAAAACCAACGTATTACACGTATCACGCATTACATAACACGTACGTTACATTGCGCAACATAAATATATCTTCATGAATCCACGCCTTATGATTGCCATGTACTGATAGTTGCATAACTTAAAACTAATATGTAAGTTTTTCATAAAGAAAAATGCTTATCTACACTAAAAAAAACTACGCAAATTCCTTTGGCATTTTGGTCTGCCGTATATTAGCCGGAAAATATAAGGTGAAAGTGCTGAGATAAAATTCAATTTTGAAGTTATTGATAACAATTTAAATCTTTTTTTCTATCAAGATTTCTAAAGATTTCCTGTCATCAAATAAGAATTCCTGAAAAATAGCTTGAATGATAAAAAACAAACAATGCGTCATTAATTAATTAAGCCATCAATACTTCGAAATATCAAAATGTCTCATAATGCTATTTCAGCTGTGAAAAAATATCAAAAATTAAAAGCCAATATTTTTTATTAGAAATAATACAAAGGAGTAAATTTAATTTTTTCCTAATTTTTGATTTATATTGATGGAAAGACAAGAAAAAAGGACTTCTCAGAAAAATTTCTATAAATGAAATAAATATTGTAAAAAAAATTAAGGAAATAAATAGAATTTTTATCAAAATACAGTTCCATCATTGAAGTCCTTTTCAATATTTTGTAATCTAGGGAACTACAGTAAATACAGTGAAACCGGGTACGGACTAGAGAGATACTAAAAAAAATGAAATTAATATGAAATACATTATCAACTACTTTCTAATTCTCAAAAGCACTACAATCAAATGTTATACGGTAATGTCCAATATTTTCTAACTTGTAAAAGAAATTTCAAATAATACAAAAAAATGCAAAAAATAAATTCAAACTACATATTCTATAATTCTTAATTTCAAAAATATAATCATGAACATTTTGGAAATTTTATAAAAAATACATTTCTTAGAAATAGACAAAACAATCTGCCGAAGTTTAGCACTTTTATTTATAATATTATCAATTGAAAATTTAGAAATTCGAAAAAGGAAAAGAATGAAAACGACTGCCATACTCTATAGAGTAAAAAAAAGGATATCATCTCCTTCTGAGGCTATAAATTGAAAAGAAATTCAATTATTCTTTACTTAGTCCATTAAATAAGCTTAACAACCTTGCAGTTTAGGCGTATCAAAAATCTACGCTGAACATTACATTGTTGTAACTTTTCTAGCGGTACTACAAGAAAGAAAAACTAATTTAATTTTAATGTGAAGGATTACAGCTCTTTATATTACTTTATAGATAAATGATAATTAAATGACATATGAGGAGAAAGTTGGAAAAAAAAGAAAAAGAGAAAGAAATGATTTTTTTGGTCTGATAAGATATAGATCTGGGCTTGGGTCGTTTATGAAAGACTTCTTGGACACTGATAAGTACAGCTAGATAAAAATGATAATATGAACAAAGTGTGAGGCAGTATTATTGCACTTCATACAACTGAGTGAATCAAATTTTAGAAAAAATAACGAGCCATTCTCTAAGACTATACGAAGGATTAATTAATTAATAATGTAGAAAAAACTTTTTTTGCAATTAAATTAGAACACAATAAATTAAATAATTCAGTTCATAATCATAAAATATAATCAGCACCGCGGAAAACACTGAGACCTTCTCGACTTTTCATAACTTTCCGATTATAAGAAATTTATTTTCTCCGCATGATGCATGATTTCTACGCCGATTTTTGTTTTATATATTGAACAAATAAATATTTAACAGCTGCTTGTCGCATTCAATTCTTCCTCATCATCAGTAACAGTGGCAGAAGGACGATACGATAACGGTGATAATGCTGTTCGCACTTCTGCGCCACGATTACCACCATTGATTCGTTGTGGATTTTTGCAAATCAAGAAAGGGACGTAGAACATTTTGCTGTGCAACAATACCGATGATGCAGAGTGTAGCATTGGTAGCCTATAATGACCATTAAGCATTATAATTATCAGTTAATCTTTAAAATTCTACTCGCAAGCAAATCAAAAAGATGTTAAACGTGCAAGCAAAAGCATTGTTGTACAAAAATCATTCAAAACTTTATTCTTTCAAAGTTTTTTTAAAGATTACTATCGTAGCGAAGTGACCGTAATTGATTACAACATTATTTTAAGTATTAAAATAATATAAAATAGTAATATAAATAAAAATGAAATGAACCATGTCAGAATATCAGTTAGCCGTGCGCCATTTTCATGCTGGCTAAGATGTATTTGTAATGCTTTCACAAACTGATCCTGTATTATTGACACTTTCCGGACATAAACACTCCGCACCATTGATTCTTTCACATCAATAGCCGCTTCATCTGAAAAAAAAACGAAAAAACAAACAAATTGTGAAAATAATTTGGACAGAGCTGCTCAGTTATGCTTTTATTTTCATTTCCGAGATTGCCATCTTAAAAAAACGATTAACAATGAAAAATTTTTTATCTATACCTGTAATTTTGATTTTTATAACTAAACTAATAAGCAAAACCTGACGCATATGCATCAAGAAAACAAAGAAATAGTTTAGTATTGGAAGATGAAATGCTTTAATTAAAAAGTATCATAAATTAATAATAATACACTTCTCAACCCTTTCATATGAAATTATTCTATTACTGTCATCATTAAAGTAAATTTTCACCTATTTAATGGTAATAAAGATAGTTGAAGAATCAGATTTCTCGAAAAGAAAAACATTAATACCTTTACGGCAATTTCAATTAATATCATTTTTCATGCCCACAGCGTAGATTTCAAATAAATTGAAAAGAAAAATTCTCTCATAAAATATTAACAAAAAGAATGCATAAAAATTCATTCTCTTCTCTCATTTTTAATAAAAGGAAAATCTTAAAACTGAAGATTATTAAAATGAGTTTATTTTAACTTATTCATTTACATTATGGAAAAAATATGAAACATTAAAATTTAAATTGTTTAAATGTAACAAACCACAAGTATGAGGTGTGTAGTGTAGTAGAGTGATAGCTTTTAAGCAAACATATGCTTCTAAGGTAATTTTTAACCGGCTAAATGAATGCAATAACGCTGTGAATTTTTCGACCAAAGGTGAGGCCTCCCTGAAACGTAGTGTAAAGATAATAGTTGCCAAAAGTGACAATTACAAAGATAGCAATCACTCTTCAGATAAAATTGACAATCATCATTTTTGTTTCAAATATAGCAAAATGTTAAATCAGTGATGCTGAACTTTCGTATCATTCTTGTTCGTCTAACTTAAATCGCATTTTTCACAACAATAACACACACCAAAATTTATGTTTTAATTTTGTAAATGTAAACAAACTTGTTGACATGCTCGAGTGGTATGTGTTTTCCCATGACAGCACACAATCGTCTTTGTAGCAACTGTAAATTTATAGACGAATCAACGAAAGATACTTCTTCGCTATCATCGGTTGTTGTCGAACTGACCGGTAAACTATCTTGACTGGAAAATCGTGTTGAAGCAGCATAAAAGCAAGCTGACAACAATACCTGAAATATGTGATTTGAATTGAGAATATTATTTGAACAAAAAAAAAAAACAATTGTAAATAAATTATATATTTCGTAGGCGAGATGAATTGAATTGTTGACCAGCTCAGCCCATCGTTGGGTCAGCAAATGAGTGTGTACTTCTACGGGCAATTCATGGTAGAACGGTAGCATCTTCGTCCATTCCACCAATTGTTCAACGATTTCATCACCGATCCTTGATAACCTCTGACATGCGGGAATTGTCGGATCGTTACTATATGATCCGAATTGATGTGCTATCCGCAAACCTTTTAGATTGATTAATTTTTCGATTTGATCTATTTCAATCAATTCCTGGAAAAGAAAAATCATTTTCTTTTTTGGATGTTTAGGGGAAAGAATTGATCAGATCTGCCGCCAACTATAGAATTTCAAATGAAGTTTATGTGCGATGCAAACTTTTGAAAGAATTGAATCGGAAGAAAAAAAAAACAATTACTTCCCAAAAATTGGATTTTCTTTTTCCTCTCTTTTTTTTTAAATTCACAAGTTGGCAAACGGATCCAAAGAGTAGCGGAAAATACTCACATGCATGATAAATACTCTGGTAGAATAATTGAACTAATTACTTCACTTGAGAAGTTATATCGCCATCAGACGAACTGTTAATTTCATTCGCTCGAATCATTATCAAATGATGACGAAATTGAGAAAGATGTAGGCATAT